ACGGCCCACGAACTTGCTTCCCCGGCTGGGCCCTGCGACGGTCCCGGCGAGCTTAACTCGAAAGACCTCAAAAGGGTCCCGTAGGGGCCACAGTGTCCTCTTCGGCACATGTCACCGCGTCATGGCGACCGCGATTTCGGGCCCCGCCGCGCCGCGCGCCGTCCTCGGGCCCGCGCGCGAGCGTACGTGTCGCGCATCTGATACAGCCGTAACAAATGACATCGTCGAACCGGCGTATAGTCGCCGGCTGGCTATCTCTTCATCTCGCGGCCGACGGCGACCGGACAAGTATTGTCTATCCCGACGCCGCCGCGGGCCTCGTTGGGCCCGGGACAACGCTTGGCCGGTCGACTATCGGCCGGTCGGCGTAAAAATTGTCACACGATCGTTGACGTCGACGAACGGTCCGACCGGTCAGCAGTTTCGCCGCGGTTTAAGGGTGGCTTAAGCGGCCCCTAGTTAGAAGACATGACACCGGGTTATGAGCCCGATGCCGGAGCCTCACGGGGAGGACTTTCATTGTAACACGTGTTGCTAACCGGTTCCACCTTAATTGTCTTAAACGGGCACCATCATAATTCTGAGTTTATCTCTCGAGGCAGCAGCGCGCCGTTCTGGCCTGTGATGTCGCGACGTCCGCTCACCCGGCGACTCCTCGTGATCTAATGGCAATTTCGAAATTGATGAAGCGACCGCGCACCCGAAGAAATAATATTACGAAGAATGATAATGGAGATCGCTGTTCAGTGGCAGTATAATAATCGCGAAAGCGGAACGAACTCTCGCGACGTCCTTATTATCATCTTGCCAAAAGCAACACGGACTTCCACGCGAAATGAAATGTGTTCGTCTGTGATTTATAATACAAGTGTCGACTTTTGTGTGGGCCAGCCACTTTCTCGAAACCTTCGTCTCATAAATTACGCAATGATCTTTATTTCTCTTTCGATATTATAGTTCTGCATATCTCCTCCATCTATTTGTTCTTAACTTCTACGCCGTTATAGTTTGTCATTTTTGCAAGTTGTTTCTATTTGGACATTCTTTAATATGAAGAAACTTTGTTTTGGCTGTATTTTAGAAGGTCCAAGCGCGGTAAAACACGATACCTTGATAAGATACGAAGGGCCGCGCCGGCCTGAAAAATTCGGGGCCCAGGGATCGTGTCCTGACGATCGTGAAGGAAGGGCCACGGCCGAAATTAGTTTGCGAGGCACGTTTCTCCCCTCGTGCGGCGCGGCGCGAAGAGAACGCGACTTTCGGTTCACCGTGCGACGGTGTCAGGACGTTAACCGTGAAGTATCCATCACTGCCTTACCGAGAAACCCACGACACGACGGTGTTCCGACTTCGGTGGATCAGGTTAGATAAATGTAATAGTCCATAGTTCAGCTTGCTAACAAGGCTAGCTTCCCCTAGATCCGAGATAAGGTCCAGCGGTCCCGCTGACTCCGGGGCCGCTCATAATGAGGCCTAGTAGAAGCCGATCGCCGATTAGGGCATTCTTCGGCGATACTTCATCAATCATCAAAATCGCCGCCGAATTCGTTATGCGAAATCCGCGCGTTCAATATTTACGACAATTTCATAAAGCGGAGACATCACGGCGAGACCATCGCTTCGTTGTTGAACGTCGAAAGGCAGAAAGAGAAAAAGAGAGAGAGTGGGAGGGGGGAATTATGAAGAATCTTCATAAATTTTTGCAATGTAGAGAATCAACCTTTCGTTTTTCGACGCGAAAAAAAGTTATCTTGATATTTATTATAAATTTTAATGGCGCCAAGATTTGACCTAGACAGCAGCGAGTTATCGATATAAACGACACGTTTTGAACGATTTGTCGCGCTAACTTGATAAATATATCACAAACAAAATTACTGTATTAATCATCGCGGGTAATTTCAGCGGGACGTCGCGGCCGAGTGGCATTAATTTATGTCCGAAAATAATCTGTTAACCGCGAACAGCTCTCTTTCGATTAATAATACCGATAACATTATTGCCAAACGGCCATCGTGCATACAAAGTGTTCCAAACCATCGAATGTTCCTTAAACGGCAGGTTATTGGCCAATTTAGAGTTGATTTCTCTTTATTAAAAGATCGAGGACGTTTTTTTTTTCAATTTCAGGTATTTTTGTAACAAAGCGTGAAATTGAAATTTCGCTTACACAAAGACTAAAACTAGAAATTAATTAGCAAATATTAATCTCTTATATATCTGGCGTTTCGAAACTTAATCTGTAAGAAGCATTTTATTTTTTATTGCTAATTGTTTAAAAACTGTATCTTGATATTTTTTATTTAAACAATATCTGTCTTAAATTACATAAGAATAATATGCGACGAAAAGAACATCCGGACACTCGGTATGTAACTCGTTCGCCTAAAGACCGGATTTCTCAGATATTAACGGCCCGTCTCTTTTGCAACGTAACGAAACGAGGCTCGCAAGATGCATCAACTTTCAGTTCTCTCTCCTCTCCCCCCTCTCCCCCCCCCCCCTCTCTCTCTCTCTCTCTCTCTCTTCTTGCGTGTTGATTAAGTTGAAATTTATTATTAAACCATACCGATATATGTTCCCGCGCATAATTTTACGACGAGGGGCTTTAATTTCCTGAGGAACGCACATTAATCATTTATCGGTGATTAACTCGTAGAGCCGTCGATAAAACTGAGAACGGTTCCCGATATTGTACGCAACGGCGAAAAGTCGATACGGAAATCTCTGAATGTTTCTCGTTACGAGAACCGAGTTTAAAGTATTCGTTTAAGCTCATTTTAAACGATCTACAATTCGCGATCAAATTTCACGATAAAATTCTACAATATCTATATTTAGGATTTTATGTGCCTATTAATACATACAAAAAATATTGGAAGTAGCCGAATATACATATATACATATATACATACCTATATAAAATTACATTAAAAATAAACATTAAAATATCTATACATAAAATAACAACATATAAAATTATAAATAAAGTTAACGGAATAAATATAAAATATGTAATAGCATGACACGATTTTCTTTGAAATTATGATTTGCTATTGATTCCGCGATTTACAAATGGTACACTGCAATTTCATCGATCTGCTTGTTCTTCAGCTTCCCTCTGGCAACAACACTTATCGAGATATGGCGTTAGCACACGGAGAATTTTTTTCTCAAGCCAAAGTAACATATCTATATAAATATCTTTTTTGTTTTTAATCTGAGCAATCCCCATTAATCTGAACTTTGAAGTGAAGAGTTTTATCAAATAATAGCAATTGCACATGACTCGATTAAAATTTATATTATATAATTAGGTACAGCCTTTTTGTAACGACACCTTATTGATGTATTAGAAGCTGCAAAATCAGAAAATAGCCACTTCCGCTTATCTATTCGCTTATCTCTTTTTCTTTCTCTTACTTTGGGCCGGTATCACAGTCTCCGATTAACGTGATCCTCCGATTAAACTCACTCTTCCTCTCTTTCTAGGGGGACAGTTAGAAAGAGATGCAGAGTGAGTTTAATCGGAGGATCACGTTAATCGGAGACTGTGATACCGGCTCTTTTTCTCTTTCTTTGTTATTATAGCATGACTTCGACCAAATTCTCTGATTAACTTAATAGGTAATTAACTTGTCAATTAAGAAACTTTTAGTATTTTGTTAACAAGAATAGGATTACTAATTTGTTGTTGTTTGACAAATGGGGAGGAAAACTAGTTTAAAAAAAGCGAATAAAATAATTAAAATTAAAATAATTAAAATAATTAAAAATCCGCTATAATTATACCGATTGAATTAATCAGCGATTAAATTAATTTGGATTTCATCGAAGTCGCCCTTAATACAATACAGCTACTACAGCTATATATAATTAACACTATAATAGAACAAGGGAGTCAAAATAATTCGACTTATTTGACGTTTTTTAAAATAATTAATATTCATTTTTAAAACATCACAATTTTTGAAATTTTCTCTAACTTTTATTGAAATATATATCAATAATTTTATCAATTTGTTTTTTCTCTCTTTTTTCCATTTTGACCCTTTTTTACTTCGGTGGAAATGGGTATAGACTAATTTTCGATAGTATTAAAAATAGTGTTCGATAGTGTTAAAAAACAAGATATATACATACCGCCCGTTGTCTGCGTCCAGTGCGTCCACTGTCCTTTGCATCTCCATCTGCTCAGACGCGCTTCGCCGAGAAAGTATAAGTACGTGGCGTGGAGACGATCGCTCGATAAATTCTGATTCGCACACACAAAAGATAAATCGCCGGTTACCAATAAAGTCACATGATATCAGCGTATATAATCGCGTGTATATTGTGCGTTGATATTTACGTTAAAATGAATCTCCAATCCGCGTGTGTGAGAATCACTTTTATGTCACACGTGCGTGGAAAGTGGCCCATTCCGCGCGCGATGCGCGCGTGATAAACCACTTTCCACGCACTTTTAATATAAAATATATATATATGTATACCGCAGCAAATATATTACACTTTCGCAGCTGAACGATATAAAGTTTTTCGCCTTTTTAAACGAAACCGTGATCCAACAAACGTTTTAATTAATTTATTCGGGACCAACAAACGATTCCGCATCGATGGCCGTTTTGAAACGAAAAACTGTAAAGAATTCCATAATATTTATCGGCTATATATACACTAAAAATTATTTTTGTATTTACATAAAACCTATTAACTAACAAATGTTTAAATTAGTCTGACAATCACCTATTATATAACTAACAAACGATTTGTAAAAAAAAATATTTTAAGTCAAAGTTGTCCGGCTAAAGGCTATTCTACAATTGCGTAAACGTAGGGTTGTAGGAGTAAGAGTAAGAAATTGACCAATCACAGTCGAATTTGAGGAGAATAATCGACTGTGGATTGGTCAATTTCTTACTCCTACTCCTACAACCCTACGTTTACGCAATTGTAGAATAGCCTTAACTCTCTCTGCACCTATCTTCATTCACTTTGTAGCAGTAATGCCACCTGAAGTGATCTGACTGAACACTGAACCTGAACGAACAACGAACGTGGGATTAACATAACCTCATGTAAATTATCAAACGGAACCTTCTTATCCAAAATAAATTCAATATTACGTAAACGAATACCAGATTTCTATTCGTATCTATGTCTCTCGGATTTCTAGATTTTTCCACGTTACTGATACGGCAATTGTCTACAATAGATTGATGTTTTTCATAGATAAATATAAATATAAAATCGCGGCATTTTTATATCACGTAACATAAAAATAATGACCGAACAGGAGGAACTTATCGTCTGTGTGCCCGGTAATTATTTATTTGTTATTAGCGACGTCGATTCAATAACTTTGCAAGTATTAGACTAATTTCTCAATATTTTTTCAAGGCCAAAGGTTATGTGTAGCTGATAAAAGCAACGTAGCCGGACCTGGGACATACGAGCAGCAGGGTTACATCTATTCGAAGCTCGCTGGGATCGTAAAATTAGTAACAAACGACAAAGTAAGTTTTACGTTTCTGTATTTAACATACTGGAACAAATATCTCTAAACATACATTGTTACAGACTCGTACGATTGAGGTACGTGGTATAACGGAGCAAAGCATCGTTCCTGCGCCAGGAGACATCGTGACGGCCATGGTCACTGTAGTTAATCAAAGATTTTGTAAATGTAGCATCAAGTGCGTGGGTGACATAGTACTGACGAGACCTTACAGAGGAATACTGAGGAAGGAGGATGTTCGAGCAATTGACAAAGACAAAATAGAGATGTACAAGTGCTATCGACCTGGAGACATCATTCTCGCAAGAGTTGTATCCTTTTAGCCTCATTCTGCGAAATGGTATATCTAAACATCGACGATTATGCCTGTAATCTTTCCTATACGTTTCGATAGATGCCAATGACAGAAATACACACTTATCAATTGAGCACCGCGGAAAATGAACTAGGAGTAGTTATAGCTCACAGCGATGAAGGTAATGGCTCTGTGTATTCTATCCTCTTTGCTAACTAATTTTAATGGCTTATCTTACAGGTGTTGCCATGGTGCCGATCAGCTGGACACAGATACAATGCCCGAAATCTTTGAGCAAGGAATTCCGTAAAGTTGCTAAAGTTGTGCCAGAACATATCGTAGCGGAACAGACTGAGTAATAAGCCTACAAGTAATCAGTCTTTCAACTGCATAGTATATTTTACATCGTAATACAATTTCATGTAAAAAGTTTATATAAGTGAACATAATTCTCGTATATTGACATTAAAGATAAAGATTAAACAATTTGGAACAGCAAGTAAAGAAGTTCCCAAACATTTCTATTTTAATTAAATTCTTTTTATATTTTTTATCTAATATTTGATTCACATACACATTTTTTAATACATATCCTCTTTCCGTTTCCTATTTCTATCGCTAGAAAGAAACCATTGCGCTCAAGCGACTCAAGGCAATGAATGCCAGGATTGCTTTCGAAAACTTCCCTCGGGTGCACACCAGCGTCGTTTTGTCCTTGTTCAATTTTTAGTAAGTAACAAAGATAGAACGACGCGATGTGCACCCAAATAAAAGTTTTCGAACGCAGCCCTGAGTGGCAGCACTGTCAGCGTTTTGACGTAAATATTTATATCGTGCCCATAGATGAATATTCCCGTTCAAATATTTTACAATTTACAAATTATCTGTTGTCATTTGATAAAATAGTGACACAAATAAGCAAAAATGGCCGAAGCGTCATTTTTTAAGCCATCGGACACTGAATCACTGAATTACACTCAGGGTAAGCGCTCGTTATAATTTACGAGGTTAGATATTCGATCTATATGTGTTACACACAATAGAAAATAGAAATATATAGATGAAAAAGCGCATTTTCGGCATCTCATAATTATTAATCCTAAAATTCAATTACGATAAACAATAGTGAAATAATTTTCAATAAACGACATATTTGTTGATTGATTTTACCTAATTATTACGTTATTATTGACATAATTGCAAATTGCATTAATATTAACACAATAATTGCGTATTGAATACAGCTATTAAGCAAAATTAATCATGTTTTATACAAAATAAATGATGAACACAGCTTGAATGGTTTGTGCAGAAATTCGGCAGATGATGCATGGATTTGGTGACAGTAGTGAACCATTGTTGGAATCTGTAAAGATCATAGAGGATGTCGTGCTGCAACAAATGAAAACAATTGTCAGAAGAGCCTGTGAAATCGCGGATAGACGAGCCAATTCGAAGAAGAGCAATGTCATCAATGGAGAGGATCTTCTCTTTCTTTTACGTAAAGACAAAGTCAAGCTTCAGCGCATTGTGAAATATCTTGGTAAATATGCAGTAAAATTTTTTAATTATGTCGTGCTGTTGTTTTTTACAGGCTATGACTTTTTCTTTCAGAAATCAGAGAATTGGGATGCTCGGTTCAAAAACTTATGGCGAATGACAACCCACAAACTACCGTGGATTCTGAACAAATGGATGGTACCAAGAAAAAAGTGCCATTTCAGAGTTTTCTAGAACAGATTGACAACACGGGTGAACTTCTAGAAAATTCATCCTTCGTGGACGATATTAAACGACGCAGATGCATTCGTGCGGACATCGCGTCGAGGTCCATGGATGAAATGCATTACATAAAATTCAGCAAGGCACGTCGTGTGTCCTTTGCGAACAAAAGTCGCAATAAATTCTGTGACTGGATTTGCTTGGATGGTACTATCTCAATTAGTATTAAAATTATATGCGTAGCCTACATTTTAATTATCATATTTAATTATAGGTGATGTTACCTTGTCAAAACAAGCACAAACAATCTTGTCTTACCTTGCATATGAAACGGTTGCTCAAATTGTTGATCTCGTATTTTTAGTACGGCAAGATCAAGGTAAAATAATGCATGGTGATGCTATAGATCGGCAACGACTCAATTATGTTAATCCATTTACATTTAAACCACGCTATCATAGTAAGGTACATATTATAGTTGTTAAAACATCAAAATAACAAAGCAACATATATATTTGTTTGTTCTCTTCTTTATAGAATTTCGTAATGAAACCATTAACTCCTTCAGAGATAACTGAAGCCCTTAGGCGGTACTGGTCTCCACAGCTAGATATGACAGGTCCATTTAATAGGTGGTCCATGAGAAGACCGCACTTGAAACTTCTTTCATGTTAGATGTAAAGATCTGAAGAAGGTAAACCCTATGATTTATTAGTCGGAATTATTTATTTGCAAAGAGAAATTATTTAATTTGCCAGGAAGTGATACATAAAACATGTGCAACACTAAAATTGACTCGTATTTATTGACATTTTCTTGATTTCTTGTACATGTGTTTCATTTTCCTAAATCATAACTTTACACACGAAACCACGTTCTTTTTTTTATCGATTTTTTATTATAAAACCGAGTAAAGTTACCATGTAATAATAATTATAGAGATATTTATGATCCTCCTTAAAATAATTACAATATTCTCTGTACATTTTACATTTGGTAGTCCCTGATTGTTTTCCAAAAGATAAAATATAGTTATATTACTGCTTGTAATTACTGCTACAGTGATACATTATACTTTTCATAAAATATTTGAATCTATTTTCTTTTACACGAATTATCAACGCTTTGGCGATACAGTGTAGTCTCTTAAAACCTAACATGATGTACTCATTCTACAATCACTTACAGAATTTAGTACAGTGAATAAAATAATATCCACAAGATCTTTAACTAATATCATCAGTAACTGTCTATTTGTCTTACGAATTTATACAGATGCTAATTTTGTTTCTATATCATGGTGAGAGTAGTGTTGATACTCGTGCTTTTCCTTCTGCACCCCCGGTTATACAAGTTCCGGATTGATTGGCAGTCGACCAGTCGCAACATAGAGTACCTTTGTGTCCGCCTAGCTCTAAAATCTTTCCTTGTGCACCTGGTGGCATCTGAAACAGAAAAGTCTCGCGTGTGTCAAAATAAGTTTTTAAACATTATGTCATTATGCATGTACCCAATAGATATTGAGTATATATTTGTATAAAATATCTTGTACATAAGTGTACCTTGTATATATTTCCTCCAGTTTGTGTGCAGAGTAACATATAATTGCCGCTCTGATCGAAAGTAAATAATTTCCCATGAACGGGGTTCTTCTCGATCTTAATTTTAGTCTCCCACAAGATCTTTCCAAAATGATTCAAGCTCCTTTGGCATAGCTTACCGTCCTCGCTTTGCGCGCATATGTTCGTATAATCGTTAATTAATTCTATGTCGATTATTGGGCTAGAGTGGCAGTTGAGATTGTCTATTATCTCGTTTCGCCTCAGATCATGTATCAGTATATTGCCATTAGACAATCCCGTGATAAGTAATTGGCCATTATGATTGAAAGCAGAACATAAAGCAGTGACGTTCTGTTCCAGCGGCAACGTTCTCTCAAGCTTTCTCGTTTTTATATCGTACAGCAACAATTTACCCTCGTTGCCATCCGATACAGAACAGACGAATGTCGATTCCGTCGGATTGCAGATCAAAGTGACGATTCGCGAATTTTCATGCTGGATATCCCAGAGCGTTTTGCAATCTCGCGTATCGTGCAATTGAATTAAACCATTGTTGTCACCGTGTAGGAAATAACGTTCGTTTTTCGATATCCAGTCCAACGAGGTGATAGCTTTGTTAGAATTTGCTGTGACGGAAGTGAACGTAGTAACAGTCCTGAAACAAATACAGATAATAAGAATTACATATTATCGATGCTTCATTGATAGGGAAAGTTATACACTGTTCTTACTTTGGTGAAGGAATCGGCGTCCATACTTTGATGACACCATCGGCGTCGCCCGTCGCGACGTACGATCCGCTTGCGTTACTTTTGCATTGAATTATGGAGGTTTTGTGCTCTGTATACTCCTCCTGTAAATGTTAGGTATTGTACAAAAGCGATTGATGTAATTAATAATAGAAATTTTCTGAGATTAGTAAGGTTCTTTAACCTGACTTAAAAGAATATAACTGGAATCTATTTTTTCCTTAGTTTTTCTCTCGATAGCAGTGTCCATAGAAGAGTCTCTTTTCCTAGAACTATTTAATCTTGAATCACAGCTGATGCTCCTCTTGGCGACTGCCTCGGACTTACTGATCGAATTCACCCGTCCTTTCGTGTTTGTCCGTTTGGTCGAAACCATTTCAGATTCCGCATTTTTTTTTATATTTGTTGCAGACTTCCTGCTTAGGATTGGACTGGACCCACCGCCAATATTTCTTATGAGATTCCTCAGTGTTTTTGGATTTTCCAGTAACGGCGACTCTCTATTATTTATAAGTATAAATAATTATATTAATTATAATTATTATAGAACCTTCTTTTATGAAATATAGCGGACGTGAACTTACTGAGCAATAATGTAAAAATCATCCATGATGGGGGGATGTTGGGGTGCCGGGCCCGGATTAACATCCGATATGCTTTCTATTTTAACAGACTCACTCAACCGTTGCCTCAACGTTTCATTTTCCTCTTGCAATCGTTTTAATTTGTTCGTGTCTTCGTCAATTGTGAGTAACGTCGGTTGTGGCATACACTAAGATAACGACATTTTAAATTTCTCATCACTCAATATCACATTTCATACCATATAATCGCATGTCTTTTATCTTATTTTGTTACAAAATGGTGCGTTAGAAAGTAGTGCGTTGAAAAATACTAATTTTTTATAGGCATATTTAACTGATTGTGAAATAATGCTCTTCTCTTATCTTACAGCTCTATTATTTAACCTTATCATTTATCTGGGAAAATTAATTTGAGCTTTGCAATGCGATGAAAATGCTTTTTTACTTACTTGAAAGATGGTTGCTAGGAAATTATGTAAAGATACCAACATGGTGTCGTGCCATTGCCTGCTAAAATGGACCGAGTAAGCCGGATTGTCTTCGGGATTTTTGATAAAGGCAAGAGCTGCAATGTCACAAAGCGTACAAATTATAATCTCCTAAATCCGCAGTGTAAATAAATTATAAATTAATATAATTAATAAACAAAGGACATACCGAACCATTCCTTCCATTCCGAGTGACCCTGTAGCTCTGGTGCCATTTTCGTGAAAAATTCTTGTATCCTATCTTGCTTGCCATTTACGGCTGCGTTCACCAAGTACATTTTTAGCACAGCGTTCTCCAACTTTCTAATCGCGGGCGTAAAATGGCTTTCCAGTCGGCAAAACATTCTAGTATCCAAGTGTCCCCATAATTCTCTCAACGACGTCAAATCATAATTATATATATATTGCATTAATTGATCAATTATTTTATCTACCTGTTCAATCAAACATAGTCAAGTACTGTTAAGCAAGCAATATACAATTTTTTACCAATAATATCTATAGCTCATGTACAAATATTTTTGTTGACATGTAACACTTTACATATATAATGAACGGTAAGTAAATATACATATAACAGCAGAATAAAGCAGACACGACTGATAGGAACAATCGGAAAATAGGATTTATCGCGCGATTATCCTGAATCTTGACCTTTTGATAAGGCCGCACTCTTATTTGGTTGGATATTTTGTTGTTATTTTGCTATAATCATGCTTACCCTAAATCCTTTTTCCTTTTCCGCTTTCAGATCATTATCGAAAGCCTTCAGGGTCTGACTAAAACCTCTGAAGAGCAAGTACTCCTTTACCAACTCGTCTACATACTGTACGTGAGACATTTTCCCTCCAATTTCTTTGAAATGTTACTCGTTTGCACCAGTTGACAGCTGCATATTGTCATCCTTCGGCCATCTTGGTTCCCCACTGGAAGTAGATACAACAGCAACACTTCGCCTGCATGTAGGATTGCCAACAGAAAGCTTTACAATAGAAAGGTATGTGAGATTGAGAATACTGAGAGTTCATATCGACCAATTTCTCGAGTCGTTGAACAATCGAAAGAATCATTTAATTGTTTAAAGAGAAATTATTATGTTTAGAGAATAATTAATTATTGTAAAAAGATACAAAATATGTTAGGAAAAAATGTTTGATTAAGAAGAAAAGAAACACAAAAATCAATAAATTTAATATCTTTGAAGAGAAATTGACAATTTAAAAAAAAGAACGAAGCATTGTTGGTAGAGAAAAAAGTTTGTGATTTAAAAATAAAAAAATACTATATCTGCTTTTAAAGAAGGCATGTAAGATATTGAATTGTTGCCGCTTTTCCGCGATGCTGATTGATTCTCTCATTGCGCTTATTTCGTGAGCATTTGTCATCGCATATTTTGACAGTTTATGTATCAAGGAGTTAATAATGTAATAGTAATAGTATAATGTTAAAGCTAAATAGCGCGTGCGAAGCGCGCGTCTGTGATGTTTATAGTTCTATAGTAGATTATAAAATTATTATATTTAGAAAAAAAAAGAATTATTTTATAAAAACACAAAACATTACTTTTGGAAAGGAAAGTTTGATTAAAAAATGAGAAGAAAGAAATATCACAAAAGATTATAAAATTATTATATTTAAAATAATATTATTTATTTAAAAAAAAATATGAAGCATTATTTTGAGAGGAAGAAATTTATTAAAAATAAGAATAAAAAACTGCATAAACATTGTAAATCTATTATATTTAGTTTATTAAAGAAATTAACTATTTTAAAAAGGCATTATCTTTAAAAGAAAAAAATTTGATTATTATTAAAAATTATTAATATTAAAAAATAAACTTGACTAAAAGAAGAAAAAAGTATTATAAAAGATCATAAAATTAAAATTATATTGATGCTTATAATAAGGAATAAATGCGAATGTCAATCTGAGTGTACGAGTCTTACGTTTATTTGTAGGTAAATTCGATAAATAATAATTACAATAGTATTAATTGTATATCTTGTTACAGTGACTTAAATTTATCCATTTACAGATTCATAATTTACATGGATTTAATTTTCAACGAGTGATAAAATGACGAAAACACTATACATTCATCAGACTGTTCGCTTTTTTTCCAATGTAGAAGAAAAATAATATTCCTGCCGAATAGCGATGTGTGTATGTGGCGCGTGAGTGTGTATGTATATGTGCGGGCATTCGCATATATATATGTGTGTTGATTGTAGATTAAACTGTATTACGCATAGAAATCTTTGCCATATAATTACTGTAAAAATTCAACAAATAATCTCATCTTTGAAAAGGCACGAGTGTTTTGTTTCCGTCACGAAAATCGAAATTCTCCCGTCGGATCTTAATCCCTTCACTATTACAATTATATTCTACAACGACGCATTCGCATTTACGGAAAAAGAAATTTTTTTAAATGTTTAGTCATTCTGGACAATTTTGAATCTTCAATCTTCAAAATTCGGGATTTAAAGAATTTTAAATTTCTTTGAATATATATATAGGTATACATATATAGGTATATATATATATATATATATATATATATATATATATATATTATTAATTTTAATGTGAATATTAATTATTATGATTTTATGCACATGCAATTTTTCATTCATTTTTTTAACATGAGTTTTTCAAGTTTATTTATCACTTATTTATTTTTCCAAACGTAGATAAAATGTCATACTGAAGAAATTAGTAATTATCACGTAAATTACATAAATTAAACATGCTTTTTATACGATGATGATACATTATCGTAACTTCCTCTTATAATCCCAACGGGAGGATTATCGAAATCATAGAATAATTTATCGCAGATAAACGATTAATTAAAACTCGCAGACCGAGAATAGGTCATTGAAGTGAATCGTTCTTGCGAACTTCGCATCACGCGAAAAAACTCAGCATCACGGTCTTACACACAGGTCTGGAAACTCAGACCGATTTTGGTGGTGGGGGATGGTCGTTTTAGCAAGGAACAATTTATTTCACGGCGTTGTCACCATGCATCGCTGTCATCGCGAAGTGTAGATGGTAACCCATGGTAACGTGACAACAATCTTTTAATTGCGCTTAATTCAAGTGCATTTTTGAAAATGACATTTCATGACATTTTTTGATGACATTTCTTTGAGCACATTTCTAAGTTGAAAGACTTTTTTCAGTTCTTGAGGACATGGACAGCGACATGGATTGAAAATAACATCTTTCTTCTGTAAATCTTTTTTTATATGACATTTTCTTTCTTTAAATAACTGTCACAGTAAAAAGGTTGGTATCGACCTTAATTGTGTGTACAACTGCATTGATATTTCTTGAAATGAGAATGTAAATATTGTGAATATACTTGTAAATTAACTATGGATTTTCAAAACGGGTTATTATTTACTTTATTATTTACTTCCTAAAGACTCATAGCCTTCAACTTTTTAATTAATCTTATAAAACCGAGGCATACATAAGGTAAGAATCAGAATTAATACAAGTCGACGGCGCTCATACCGCGTCATCTTTAAATAGTGTAAATTAAGAATAAATTATCAATTTATTAATTTGCGCATTCGTATAATAAAAGATTTCAATCGTTTTTTCTTAATACAAAGTTATTTATTATTCCTTTCCTCATTTAGAACTTCAATTATTGCCTATCTGACACTCACGATTTTGAATTTACTAATTACTATTTCCGTCTTTGTCCCACCACATAGTACACTGACCGATGGCAGCGACTCTTGCGGTCAAAAAGCGAGTTATTTTCTTCGTCGCTTAAGACGACCATCCCCCACCACTAGAGTTTCCAGACCTGTGTGTAAGACCGTGCTCAGCATTAACTCAGATGGAGTAATTACAAAGTCACGCGATGATAGAATATACAAAATACCAATTTCTTCTTATACTTATACTTCTTATACTTGTCAATAGACACTAGACTACGAAAAGTAAATCGTGAGATGTATTGTTACCCGCGAACATTTGGCAAGAGCAGCTGCAGAGTAGCAATATTTCTTTTTTTGTTCGATGTAGTATTTTGACAAAAATAGGTCTTCGCAATCCATCGTATTCATATAATTACAGACTATCACTGGAGATATCACTGTAACAGGCATTTAATTTACCGCAGATTGGGAGAATTGCGCTAATTCGCTTCATGGAATACGTGTGCGGTCATAAAAAATAGGAAAATATATATCTTCTGATGTAGGCATGTAGTATCTTTTATTTTATATTCGTACAATTGTACGATATGTTGTAATCATAAAATTCCATAAATATATCACCAAATTCTAAATTCACGCCCAAAATTGCAAAATAAAATTATGAAACAGAATACTATTTCACCTGTACTATTGGCAAGACTTTTCATCAAAACCTGCCTCTTAAAATTATTCACAAACCCAATCTGCGGGACTCTCACCTGACAATAAGACGCGATTTGAATATAATTGTGCGTATTATTTCGCATAAATTCGTTTCAACCTCTTCGTTGAATTATGCCCAATCATTTTACACGCAAAACTCAATCGCCTCATCTAAAACTCCATCTCTTCGGGCATTCATCAAACACGATGGCAGACGCGATTAGATCTCCAGTTTCCATAAATTCACTAATCCGCATCTTCGCGCGTCTCAGAAATATATGTACTCTCGAGAGAATCGCGTTTATTAGATGCGATTTCAACGATAGACGGACGTGTAGCGTATAATGCTCTGAAGATTTCATTGTTGGCGCCGCCGAGACGATCAGGACCGTCTTTGCATTGACGGAGAAGGAACTTAGATATTCAGAATTTAACTTAATAAAAGTGTTGAGTCCCACGAGACAGATTAATTGGACCTGATCAAAACTCACAACGCACAAACTCAATCCTGAAAAGCATCGAAGAAGATAAGTAACAGTCAAATGTCTTCGTCGCACTTCTCCATAGGTCTCAGACATAAAGACGATCCTGACAGCGATTGTCCCTCGAAGCTTGATTGCGTGCGTGCCGTGTGATTACCGCCTATTACCATTGCGTTACGTAAGCCAATTCGGACGATTATTCTCTTAAGGTCGGATAAAGAGAAAGAAA